CATTTCATGAGACACACACATTAGCGTAACACATGCAACATCACCAAATAATTTAAGCAGTTAATCGTCAAATGTATCTAAATATGTCAAATCATGCATCAACAAGATTTCTACCCATCTTACTCATTAATTGCACGAGATACAAGCTAAATCGCACAAAGAATATGCTAAAAATTCAAGAATTCTTCTTTGCAACTCACAATAGTTGTGCTTGCAGAGCAGAAAGATGATTTTGAGTTGAAAAGTTGTTTTAGTTTTGGAAATAAAATCCAAACACTCCTAACATATTATCTCCATGATTGACTATGAATTTTTGAAAGGAAACACAAAACAGAATTGGAATTGGATGAAGATCAGATGCTTACCTTAATAGAGGTGTCGTTCAGGTGCAGTAGCAACGATTTTGGGTTTTGGAGCTTCCTGCTACAATTTGAGAGCTGGATTTTTGTGTAGAAGTGATCGTAAAACATTAAAGAGATAAATAACAAAATTCAGAAGAAGAAGAAGAAGAAACTTACCTCGGCGAGAAGAAGTATCCCCCTCTCTGTTACGCACATAAAACGTATACTCTATTCTGGTGTGTCATTCTCTCTCTCTCTTTATTGTTTTTTGCTCTCAACCTCCCCATTCACTCACTTGTTTAACTGGAATTTTGGGTTTAAAGAAGATGAAGACAAAGTTGTGAAGAGAAGGAAGCTTTTAACTGAATTTGGCCTATCATCTGACTGTCCAAACACATGTACGACATCACAGCCGTTGGTGTTTTCGGTGGCCGACCAAGGCTGGCATGAAAGGCTGAATTTTTTTTGACACCTGGCTAGTCCTCACAACAACGCCCCATGTGGCTCGGTTATGGCCACAATTTTGGTGTTAGTGGGTGTTTGGTTTATATTTATATTATACATATATAATTATTTATATATACACACATAAATGCATCTATATATTTATTCCTATGTTTATATATTTGTACATATATATTTATTCATTTATGTATTCTACATATGTTTACTTATACATACCAACATCTATAAAAACTAAATGAATTTATACGATGTTTATTTATTCATACCCACATCTATAAAAATTTACATCAGTTCACACGTATAAATGTATACTTTATTTTATTATTATTCAATTCATTTAAAACAATGACAATTTAGAAAATAAAATTATAATTTCTTTCAAAATATAATTATTCAGAATATTTCTTTTATTAAAATTTTATAATTTCAATTTTTTTCCACATCCGAAGAATTTTAATTAAATTTTTAATTTATTTTAATTTTTCTTTATTTAAATTAGAAAATATATTTATCAGAGTGAACAAATCATATAATTAAAAGATTTTATTAGACAAAGGTATACAGTAAGCACACAGCTACCTATTACACTATGTGAGCTTAAAAGATCTCGACTACATTAAGGGAGAGTAAGGCACATCTTGATAGTGCCTAAAAATTGCATCATTATCATACACTTTTGGGTTGTTAAACTTCATTGTATGCTATCTAATCCGAACTAGTTTCTATGTTTTGTCACAGAACATGATATAAGGACGAAACGCAAAAAAATAGCATAAAAAGATAAAGAGTTCGTGAAAAGTATCATCAATTCAGAAACAAGCCTTGCACAAGGCTTGGGTCCAATAAACAGATAACTTAGCTTTGGGCAATGGTAAGAGTCACGCACAATAGCATATTTAAATTGAAACTTACATTTTTGAAATATGAAAAAGATATCATTCCAACTAAGATCTGGGACTGAAATTTGAGAAGAAAATATTTTCAGAACGCTTGGGATAAGCCAAAAATTAAAGAAAAAGATCCTAATCAACACAAGAAAAAACCTTAGCCCCTTTCTATAAAGATGGTGGGGGCCAAGCATGTTGATCATCATTATTCTTCCCGATGCCGCATAAAACTTCAACGGCAAATTCTACACTCTCTTTTTGACTTCTTCCTTCTCTTTTATCATTAAAAAAAAACTCTTTTTTATTGAAATCCACCATGAGTGGCTAGTTTATTTCTTTTTCCTATTTGGTAGATCTAACAAACTCCAACAATTTATTTGTGATATCCAATCAAATTAATTTAAGTTTTATTTTAAATATGATATTTATTTACATCCTGCACCTTTATATATTTGTTGTTTTGAATTTATTTGAACAAGGCACGTTATACGAGAAGAGAAATCGCAAATAGCTAGCCGAACTCCTCAATCCGTAATTGTTAGAGTGATTCTGGCACCTATTAACGATTAATGCTACACTGAGGAGGTAAGTCATCTAGCTGACCAGTTCACACAAACGAATTCGGTAATTTAAATCAGGTCCTTCTAGCTCTCAAGACCTTTAATAAGTTAAATCCTGTGGACATTCTCGGGACTGCTTGACAGGGAAGAACCAATTAATGAACATTTCTTATTTGGTTTAAGAATAATGAAAGATTAGTTGTCAGAACGTTTCCAAAAACTATAACTAATTTGCCATATTTTGGATAAAATGAATCCTTGCATTTATGATCAATTATGTTACTAGAGCTAGCTATTTTGTCAACTAAGAATCCTTCTTATAATTGATTTAGTTTCTAACTTGTAGTCAAGAGTTCGATTTATATTACTTTACTTATTTCCTATTTCATATTTTGTATTGATGTTGAATCTATAAAAACGCTTTTTTTGTTTATTTTTTACTTGTTAATCAAGGAAGAAAATTGGTTTCAAATTTCTTATGGATTCGACCCCTTACCACTACTACAATATTCTTTTATTGGTTCCTTAAAAATTTATTTTTGGTGGATTTGACACCAACCAAATTTTGGTACTGTTGCTGGGGAATTGAGATTAACTTATTGTTTTTCCTTTTTTATGACTAGGACCAATCGTGGAGGACCATTTCTTTATGATCTAGAGATTGAGAAGATTGCTATAAGTATAAGAAAATAGAGCTAAGAAAGAAGGCAGAAACATCAAGACAACACTTGATCTGCTATACCTGAAACAGAAAACATGGAACAAGAATGCACATTGAGGGAATTGGCAGCCCCACCTATAAACCAACAACCCCACCATCACCTGCCTAGACTTGGATGTTCCTTTTGAGCTAAAATTTAGTTTGATCCATCTACTACCCAAGTTTTAAGGTATGAAAAATGAGAACCCACACAATATCTCAATGAATTCCATGTCGTCTGTTCTAGCGTGAAACCCGAAGGTGTATATGAAGAATAAATCAACTACCAGTATTCCCATTCTCTTTGGATGAAGCAACCAAATAGTGGTTGTTTTACCTATATCTCGAATCAATCACGACTTGGGCAGAGATGGTAAAATCCTTTCTAGATCTCTTCTTCCATACTTTTAAAGCTATCGGGATAAAGAGAGAGATATGTGGGATCAAGCAAAGAGATTCAGAAAGTCTCCATGATTATTGGAAAAGATTCAAGCGGTTGTGGACAAGTTTTCCACAATATTATATCTCAAAACAATCTCTCATTCACTATCTTTACGAAGGACTATTGGATATAAATAAAAGAATGTTAGATGCAATAAGTGGTGGTGCCGTAGTGAATAAAACACCTCAAGAAGCTAAAAAATTGATAGTGATCATGGCTGCAAATTCACAACAATTTTGGAACACACGAGACACCCCAATGGATCGATAAAGAAAGAAGTATTGGGCTAAATTTAGAAGGCCTTAAAGCTAGAAGCACGAATGATGCAGAACTCAGAATCAACAATGCAATCTAAAACCTCATGTATAACATCAACATGCATAAACTTAAACCCGTAAGTAAACCCTCCTTATTTAACGCACAATCAACAATATGAAGGCAAACTAAGGTAACTGAGAATTAAGAAATCTTGAATTAAATAGACATCAGGAGCTTATCTCTATAAGTAGATTTAATTCCTAGCTCAACGAGAAAGTTGAAGAACCTCCCTAAAGAGCACGCACAATCAGTGTATTAAAAGCAAAATAATTCTTGAATTTGATTATTTTTAAAGTGATGTACGACAACCTAATGATGAGGCCTTTATATAGGCATTCAGCTGAACTAGTTCTACTTGATCTCAAAAAGTAAAATCCAAGAATAATTCTAGTTACAACTCAGTTTAAAAAACTATCAAAATAAAAATTAAAAAGACATAAACCAAGTGGGATTAAAAATCTTCTCTTTTGACAAGTGGTGGTGTTGTGGCTGAATTCTCTATGGTTTATTTGACTTGGATTTGGTCTTTAATATTTAATCAATTTTTGTTATAGAAGTTGAGTTGAAGATGCTTTAAAAGCTTCCAAATTGAAGCATAAAACAATTCCTCTTCCATGAGAAAATCAAGGAGAAAATCTATGGGAAAATTTAGGAAAAAATCCAAGAGAAGATCTAGAAACAAATTCAAGAGAAAATCTAGGAGAACATCAAGAAAAAAAATTGAAGAGAAAACCTAGGAAAAAAATTTAAGAGAAGATCTAAAAGAAAATCTTGGATTTTCTACCATGAGATGAATAAGAGTGTAATCCTAGTAATGACTTGTAATAATAGGATTCTTCATCTTTTGTTGTGATAAGGACTCTAAATTGATAAAGAATATCAATTTTGATGATGTAAATCTCTTGAAACCTCATCTTACTTGGTAAGATAAGGATTCTTGAATTCTCATGAGATTTACTTGAAGTTGAAACAGATTCATGAGGAGAGTTGTGTTCGATTGTGTAAGAATGAATAATCAAGTGTCCAAAATCTTTAGAACCCTTATTATTGATATGATTAATGTGCCTTAAAAGAGATGAGTGTCAAGTTATGACTTTCCCAGCAAGTGTAGATGACCCCCTTATGTGAAATACTCGAGAGTCAATGATTGGAAGGACTTTTTTCACCGTTCGATTATAATCATCTTTTCCATGGGATCTTAGTGTGAGTTGTCCTCCCTTTCTTTTCTCACATCAATGACCATTCTTCAAAATGTTTTTTTCTCGAATTGGGACATCTCATGTAATTATTTAACCGACTTTACTTTTTATAAGAAAGAAACAACACCACTAGAGAAAGTAACATTAAGGTTAGATAATCTCTTTTCTTTCTTCTAACAAGGGGTCATCATGTTCTTTTTATCCTGTGGCATTATTGTTTTCTTCTCTGATGGTGTCACTTTTCCTTGCTTTGGAGGCTTTATTTTTATAACACCACACTAACCTTTGCATTAAATTTGTATTTGGAACCCCTATTTATTCAGGCCCTAATATCCGTTGAACTCTTTAAATTACCTCTTAATTTTTATGTCGTATTTCGTAAATTTAATTCATAGTTTTAATTTTATTTCAAAAATTATATTTTATAATTTTGATATTTTTTTCAATTTATATTTTTGTATATTTGTTAAAAATAATTTTAGGAGAAACACAAAAAGGGTGGATCCCGCGGAAATGCATGCAAAAAAACCCGCCTGTGCAGGCTTG